ACCAGGATGCTCCTAAACAAGGAAGGCATCTTTTGAAATGGTACCCATCACAAGAAGAACACAGCCAACATTTAGCTCACCCCCAGAAGACCAAGGGCTTGCTGCTGCCTTTGTTCAGTGATCTCCACTGTGATCACTACCATCTCTCTTGTTTCAGCCATCTGCAGCCAATTCCTAATAAAGTCTTACCTGTCACGGTCCTAATATATGGCTTTGGTCCCCTTTCTCCGGTCTCTAGGCTTTCAGAGTCTACCATACAGCATTATTGGTACATGAAGGACAAACAGGGACCTAGTCACTAATGTAAATATTTAAGGCAAGACTTAATTATAGAAATTCCCCTCCCTCTACCAATACCAATAAAAAACACAAACTGTACTCTTATACACATGCTGCTAACATATACTTTTCTACTTCCACTTAGGCCTGGTGGTTCATCCCTTTAATCCTAGAATTTGGGAAGCAGACACAGGTGGATCTCTGTGGATTCAAGGCCAGCCTGGTCTATAGAGTGAGTTTCAGGAAAGCCAGGACTACACTGAGAAACCCTGTCTCAAAAAAACAAAAACAAAAATAAAAAACAAAAACAAAACAAAGCAAAAGAACAAACAAAAACCACCACCAACAACAAAACCACTGAAATCACTTTTTGTTGTTACTTGAGGCAGGGTCTCATATAGCCCAGGCTGACCTTCACTGAACTCTTTCATCCTTTGCCTCTACCTCCTGAGAGTTCCAGCTACAGACAAGATTGCCATAGCCAGCTAATGGAGTGCTGAGGTTGAACCCATAGCCTCATGTAAGCTAAAGACTCTACCTACTGAGCTATATCCCCAGCCCACAGTTACTTTTTATTTTAATGATTTTAGTGTGTGTGTGTGTGTGTGTGTGTGTGTGTGTGTGTGTGTGTGTGTAGGGACATGCGCCATAGCATGAGTGGGGAAGTCAGAGGATAATTCTGGAGACTTAGTTCTCTCCTTCCATCTTACAGAGGGCCCAGGAATTGAACTCTGCTCATCAGGATTGAGTGGCAAGCATCTTTACCTGCTGAGTCATCCTGCTCGCCCATGATCAGTGTCTTTTATTTGGCTAATTCGGTAGATAAAAATTTGGGGAGGGTGTCACTGGTTCTGCTGTGTGTACATGTGTGTGTGTGTGCATGTGTGTGTGTGCATGTGTGTGCACTCATGCATATGCTTCTCACCATGCTTGTTAGAAGATAGTGTTCTGGAGTCTGGTCTTTCTTTCACCGTGTGGGTCCCCAGGACCAAACTCAAGTCCTCAGGTTTGGTAGCAATCACCTTTATCCACTGAATCATCCCGACAGCCCAGCTATATTTTTCTTATTAGTAAAAATGAGTATTATTTATGTTTTTTATATAAGATTAAGTTAGTCTAGGCTGACATGGAACTTACTATGTAGTTGGGGCTGGTCTTGAACATCAGATACTTTTTGTCTCTACCTCCCAAGTGCTGGGATTACAGGCCTGCATCCCCATCCTGGTCATAAACCATGTTTAAGATTGATTATTTAAACCCAAATAAACTTAACCAAGACTATTCTTAAAAACTTGTTTGCTACTAAAATTTAGCCAAAAAGTGCTTTAAATATATTTGTTTTATTTTTTACATATGAGTGTTTGCATGTGTATTAGTGCACCATGTACATGTGGTGCACAAGTTAACCAGAAGAGTGCACTGGATCCCCCGAAACTGGTGGCATAGTTGTGAGCTGCCATGTGGGTACTGGGAGCTCTGCAAAAGCAGCATGTACTGTTAACTGCTGAGCTAACTCTCCAGCTCAAGGTGTTGTGTTATTTACACTGTCTTCCCTTGCTAAGTGAGATCTGACTCTGGGTACACTCCCACCAACTCTGATAGCACAGGAGCACCACCGATGACCTCAGAGAAAATCTTTGTTTAGAGACAAGGAGGAACTTTGACCTACATTCACTGATGAAAGCAGTGGAGATGAAGGACCAGAGTTCTCATACATATTACCTATGTGTCCACTAGGTGAAGCAGTCTCTCCACCCTTGACTCCTGCCAGTATTCTGGTGGCTTTTCTGTCTTAGGTATAGGTATGCCCTTGAGGTGTGAATCTATTTAGTCTTATCAATAAAAACCTGAATTAAATATTAGGGTGAAAGCTGAAAGATCAGAAGAGCAGAGTAGCCAGTAGAGATTTCTAACCATTACAGAATATCAGACCGAATGGGAGAGATCCTGTCTTTAACAGCCTTATATATTCCTATCTCCACCTCCCTAGTGCTGGGATCAAAGGCATGAGATTCCAGGTGCTGGGATCAAAGGTGTGAGCCACCAACTAATGGCTCTGTTTCTCTCTCTCTCTCTCTCTCTCTCTCTCTCTCTCTCTCTCTCTCTCTCAAAAATATTTATTTATTATGTATACAATATTCTGTCTGCGTGTATGCCTGTAGGCCAGAAGAGGGCACCAGACCTCATTATAGATGGTTGTGAGCCACCATGTCATTGCTGGAAATTGAACTTGGGATGTCTGGAAGAACAGGCAGTGCTCTTAACCGCTGAGCCATCTCTTCAGCCCCTCTGTTTCTCTTTTAGACTGGTTCAATCCTGAGTAACCCAGGGTCGCCTCGAACTCCTAATCTTCCTGCTTCTTCCTCCCAAATGCTGGGATTAAAGGTGTGTGCCACCACTGCCCAGCCGCTATGGTTAACTAGTGGTTAGTTCTGTCCTCTGATCTCTAGGCAAGCTTTATTGGTCAGAACACAAACAAAATATCATACAACATGCAGCACTGTCTCTCTTCCTCATCTCCTTTTATTTTTTTCTTAAATACTTACCTGCTTCAGGTAATTGATACAATCCATGTATCAGTCTAGTGGCAAATGACCCACCCAATGGCACAGAGTCTCAAGTCCGTCAGGAATGAAGCATGAGTAAGAGAAAGGGAATTTTACCTGGGCGATGGTGGTGCATGCCTTTAATTCCAGCACTTGGGAGGTAGAGGTAGAGAGCTCTATGAGTTTGAGGCCAGCCTGGTCTACAGAGTGAGTTCCAGAACAGCCAAGGCTACGTAGAGAAACCCTGTCTTGGAAAAACAGAAACAACAACAAAAAAGGGGAGGGGGCTAATGAGGCTCTATGAATTTGGATTCCTGGAGGAAACACCATGCTGAAAATGAAAACAGCCATCCCAATATCCCTGCACCAGGAGAAGGCTACCCCCACTTCTAGGGACAGGCTTCAGGGAAATCCACATTTGCACATTCTTTGGTTTTCGTTTCGTCTTTTCTTTAGGTCTGGGCACCTCCATGGCAAGGTGGACACAGATTGAGGATTTCTCTCTCCCTGCTTTTGGTCAAAACTAAAAACGAACTAAATTTTCCTTATGAGAATCTATATGTCATACACACATAATGTTGTTTTCTCTTAATACAGGCAAATAAATATTCAGGTCAAGGGCCCTGGTGACAAATGGATAATGTCTACAGCTCATAATTAACTAGTGGGAAGTAGCTTATTCGGAAAGACACCTATGCTAACCTCTGACCGTCACACATATGCACACATATGTACACATGCACCCACATGTATACATACAACATGTATATGTATCACACACACACAAATACACAAAGAAAGGAAGGATATAGAGGTGACAAAGCTTTGGAGGTGACCTTGGATTCAAAGGTCAACTCCAGGGAAAACAAGGGGTAGAAATGATGTAGTACATGTGGACTCATGTATGAATTTCTCAAAAAACTAAAGTTAAAATTAAAACACTATTGTCAACTTCAGGATGGGTAACAGTAAATCTGGGCTTCAGTTTCTCTACTACATGATTAGGCTACCAAACCCAGGAAAAGTACCTGAGTTTGGATAGCTGAAGCAATAGTTATTTGTTTTGTTCCTTAGTGACAGGGTCTCTATGTAGCCCTGGCTATACTGAAACTCAGTTTATAAACCAGGCTCTGAATCCTGGAACTCATAGCGATCCCCCTGCCTCTGACTCCCAAGTGCTGGGATTAAAGGTGTGTGCCACCATGTCCAGATTTTCTTTTAATTTTATTGAAAATTCTTATTTTGTGTTTGGCTATCTTTGCCTGTACATACATCTGCGCACCACATGCTCGCAGTGTCTGCAGAGACCAGAAGAGGGCGTCTAATACCATAAGACTGAAGGTTACAGACAGTATACAGAGCTGGGATTTGAACCTGGGACCTCAGGAAGAACAGCCAGATGCTGTTGCTGAGCCATCACTCCATCCACCTAAAGCAGTTTATAGCGTATGTAACAAATACATAATCAGTAAGTAATAACAGCGTGATCTATCCTAACCTTGCACTTTCCTTGAGGCATATTCAGAATATTAAGTACTCTAGACTGGCTAGCCTGTCCCTCACTGTAACTGTTCCTCCACACCCCAGTCGCCTCACAGCTCCTGACCTCATTGCTCAGTTTCTCATCACTCACTTTTCCCTTTGAAAACAGGACTGCAGGCAAATCCCCACCAACAATTATCCACAGCACAGTTCTCCCCTGCTGCAGATTTCAGTGTCTGCCAGTCCGTGAGGACTGAATGAGATCATCTCTAAGCTCCTCTCACAAGAACATTTCAGCATTCTTTGTTTTTTCCTTCTAAAACCTGTATTTCTGTGAGGCCTTCTCTGAACCTCCCGGTGGCTCTAAAGATGTCTGGTGAGCACTGGTGTTGTCAAACACACAGATGGCATTCTGCTCACAGGGGACAGGTGGGGGTGCTGTTTTCTGTCACTCTCCAGTGCCAAGATCCATGAGCTAGGAGAAGCCTCCCTGCAGGC